GTGTGTGTGTGTGTGTGTGTGTGTGGAGGGGGGGACGTGCAGCCCCACACAACCCTTCCTTGATGGGCTAGATAAGTGGGTAGAAAAGGGAAACGAAGTGCCATAAACATGCATAAAAAATCATTTCAGTTCCAGGGGAAAATGCTTCAACGAGAAGTAAAGTGTAGAATTCGTTATGGGAAGAACCTTGAAGGCATCTCATAACTGCCGCTCATTAGAGATCCGGGAAGCTGAGGGGTGGACCTGCCCAGCCACACAGCTAGTTACCAGGGGGCCGGGGATTAACACTCAGGACTCTGACCTCGAGGCAGAGTGTGGGGGCTGTGCCCAGGCTACTCAGCGAATAAATAATACATCTCATTCAAATGCACTTCTCCCCAACAGGTTGACTTTTTAAAGTAAAACAACAACAAAAACTCCCTGTACCTACAAAAAAGAAAACACCCAACTGATGTTTCATCTTCCAATTTCAACAACAGAGGTTACATTTGTTAAGCTATTCATGGGTCATCGCCATGACTATATCCATAAACACAGAATCACTTCAAAAAACAACAAAAACAGCAACTAATTTCATTGAGCTTATTCCATAAACTTCAGATGTCATGACTCATTTAATGCTACGACGTAACTATATCCATCACTTCCATTTTACAGTTGGAGAAACGGAGGCACAGAGAGGCCAAGCGCCTCGCTCGAGGCCGCACAGCTCAGAGCAGAGCTGGGACTCAGCCTGCAGACCAGCTCCTGAGCCCGGGGTGATACTCCCCATTTTCCAATGTGATTATCACCCGGGAGAAATGAAATATATTGCCTTTCACAGTCTACCTGATTGACCTGGCAATTGGCTTTCTCCACAAAAGAGCAGTTTGATAGTTCCACTGAGGAGAGGAAGTTAACCAGCCTTTCAATGAGCTGCGCCGGCTTTGAGACGAAGGGCCCGCATGGCCCGGCGGCGCTGTCTGCGCATCCGAGACCCGAGCCAGGCCACCGGCTTCTGCCCGGACATTTCTCCATCTGGAGGCTGCTCCCAGGCGTCACTGTCCACCCCAGGCACCATCGCAAGCTTCAGATCTGACCCGACCCCAGTGGCAGTGCCAGGAGTGGGATCACATTGAAAAGGGGTCTCTTTGGAGGTTTCCGCGGCCCCCACCCGACCCACGGCCTCCCCCCGCCCCTGCACCTGCCCGGGGAGCAGAGCCCAAGCGGTGGGTGAACAGCCACCTCAGCCTTCGGGCCTCAGCACGCACCCGGGCAGCGGAGGGCCCGTCCATCTGTCAGCAAATGAGGAAGGAAGGAGGGAAGTGAGACCCAGCTCCAGGCCAGACCTCGGCTTCCTGGAGCGCCCCGATGGGCATGAGCCCATCTGGGGTTCAGTCTGCCTCCAGTCACCGGCTCCCTGACGCAGGGAGGAGAGGGGACAAGCTGAGGCCGCAGCACAGGGCGCAGGGGG